GCCTCTTCATGGGCAATTCCCATGCTGTCTTCATGAGACCGCCGGGCCACGACCTGACCTTTGAGCGAAGGACTATGTACCACCCCAGGTACCTTGTCATTTTGCCAATGACATACCCAATGCCCCCCCCGTGGCAGTCCCCGTCTCCTATAACGCCTACAAAACCACCCACTATGGCGTCGTCCTCTAGACTGCCATGTTGACCAGCCCATGGCAGAGCATCAGACTCATCACCACCAGACCTTGCACGCCGAACGCCTCGTGTTCGTCGCCTCGCGGCGTAACCCAAACCTGAAATGACAAGATGCAAGCTGCTGCCACCTCAGCAACGCCCAAAATTGAGTTGGCCATGGCAAGCTGGCGAGGTATCTGGCCGATTCGCAACCCGTAAAAAGCGTCGCTGGTCAGGTGCAGAGCGACAGCAACGCTGAGCGCCATGGACCCGAGCATCACATCCCAGGTGTAGGTGTACGATGCCGACGTCACATGCAGCCAGGATGCGATGAGGCTGCCTAGGGTAAATATGTCTATGAAACGGTCGCGTGCTGCAGGGTTCCTCAGCGGCCGAATCATCTTCAGCTCTATATCTGGACTCTCCCTGTTTGCATTGTCTTGGTCGGAGTCTCCGTCCTGGCTGAGGTTGAAGCTCGAACCTAACATGTCAGCCAGCGTGCTCCGTGGATCGCTGGGATTGGACTTGGGCGAAGCAAAGAATGATGGTTGCGCGAAAGACACCTTGCGTTTCGACTTGTTGCTATCACTTGGGCGAGCGCCCGTGTTCAGCGGCTGACTGTTCGTCGGAAAGAAGACAGCTTCTGGCCCTACGGGCTTGCTCCTGAGAATAGGGTTGGAAGCCTTGCGCAGTCTTTCCGCTGGAGTTGTCGGCGCGGGCGGCACCTTGTACCAGAATGGACTAGCCGAGGGGTTCGTGGGAGAGTCGCCAAATGCTTGGCTTTGGCGTCCAGGTGCACCGAAATCATTGAAAGCACGATGCCTAGACTGCGTTGGAGACCATTCCATCTCTTCCGAATATTGCACATGAGCGGCGGCAGTAGAAAGGCCAAGGGAGCTGATCCCAGAAATCGATTGCAGCTCTGGGTTCGGCGAGATGGGTCCTTTGGGCGAGGGACTTGGCCTCGTCGGTATCACCATCGGCGCTTTTGGCGTCTCATGAAGTATGTCATCGAGTAGATTTGACAGGCTCTTTGCCCCTGTTTCGGTCCCTAACCCAATGTCCCGAGGCCGGGCTGGAGAGAGTGCCAAAGGCGTCGAGGAAGACGGGAACAGTGGTGTTGTGTCAACATGTACTGACTTTTGCGCGAGGGCATAGAGCTGACATAAATGGTCAGTCAAGTCATCAATAGGGAAGTCGCAGACTTACAACAACAACAACAATGGCAAGCAACGCGTGTAGACTAATTTGAGCGCTGGTTCGACCTTCTCCGGCGCCAGCAAGCCCGGCTATCCTAACACCAAGAAATCGCACTAGCAGGACCAGCCCTTGAAAAACGTACCACTGGGACAGACCGTGGATATGCTTTGAGAAGCCGCGGAAGACCTGGGTGAATTTTGGGTTCCACCAAATGCAGAGCAGGTTGGCCCAGAAGCTCATGCGAACCAATACAGAAGACTGAGGGAGGGCATTTGCCATCCAGCGGAGGACGGAAGTCCATGCTGGTGAGAGCTCGTCTGTGTCACGCAAAGGCCCAGTTGTCATGGTTGACAGCGCATCGGCCATTGTCGCGAAGTGCCAGAGTAACTGGCCTGTCAGTCCAGCGAACCAAAACCACCGTCCAAGTGTGTCAGCCATGTCGAGAGCGGTCCATCGTTTCGGCGAGGCGCGCCGTTGCCTACTCCTCTCCATCATGCGCCGCAGATGGTCGGTACGCGCGGTGTAGCCAGCCTGCTGCACCTGAGCCAGAACCTTGGGTTCACAGTCTGCACATATTTGCGGGTATCGCTCTTCGAGCCGTTGTCGGAACTTGTAGTAGTTCTTCTCGAGCTGCGCGTATTCGGGATGATCGGGGTCTTCGGGAAGATACTGCGCCAGGGATGCCGTGAATAGATGTTGGTTCTTGAGACATGTCGAACAGAATATGCTTGGTGCTTGCGCCGCTGGTTCGGGGGATTGCGACCGTGGTATGGCGTATTGTGTGGGCTGAGTTGTTGAGGTTGTTGATGCGACAGGAGGATCGGTGATTTCGCCATTCTTCAAAAGCTATGGTATCAGATAATGACACGTATGGAATTCTTGTCATGCTCTCACCTCGTCGAGATAGTTCGTTGCGTCGCACTTCAAGCAGAGGAAGTCACTGATGATACCGTTGAACTTGACCGAGGAGCGTTTGCCACAGTAAAAGCACGTCAGGTTGCCCCTTGATCTGAGGCTCGCCATCGCACTTGGAGTCCGTAGTACCATGACAGGCAAAATGCCATTTATGCAAAGCCCCGACTTATGTTGAAGGGATGTTGAACTCTTGTTGACCTGGTGTTCCTCGCTGATCTTCTGGAAATTATGCCGGGCGGTCAGGCAACTGTTTGGTAAGTTGACCTCCAGCTTCTTGTTGATTGCTAGGACCCTCCAGCTCAGGGGTCGGAGTGATGTCACTTTGAATGCGGGTGGAACCGCAATCACGTGACGCGCGAGCACCACACACCCCCGGGCTAGGCACCCATACCTGGCACCCATCCATTGGCAAGGACTTACAGAAATTGATGAATCAATCACATGACAGGCGACGTCGTCCACTCAATCTAGGTACCTACATACAATTACCTTAGGAACCTAGGACGATATTCCGTAGGGCCTGTCTATACCAGAGAGCAGATGAGTGTTGCGGGAAACTATCTCATAGCTTGCAGCAAACCGTTCACTTCATTGCCAGGGACAGCAGCATAGCAGAACCGCCGGACGGCGACGTCACCGCCCAACGATGCCATCCAAGTCAGCAGGGCCTTTTCTGCTAAAGACTGTAGCATTTATCTGTTTCATCGGACTTTGTGCCCTTCTCTATTCCTCGTGGATAGTCTTTGCCGCCTTGTCCGTTTTAGGGGTCTCTACATCTGCATTCTTTGCTTTTGTGCGTATCATTTCATCCTTCTCAGTGAGAATGCACTAAACGATATAGGTGCGCCACAACCAGCTTCAGAAGACCCGAGAAAACCACACTATCAACCTAGAAACTGCGAGGAGTCATGTGAGCAAGACTGCAAACCTTACTGGAGCATATCTTCTTGTCGTCCTGGGCTCAGGTGGTCATACGAAGGAGATGCTTGCCATGCTGGAAATCGGCTTCGCTCCGCTCTCATCTATTCACCGCCGGTATCTCGTATCAAGCGGAGATGCAATGTCGCTCAAACAGGTCAAGGCTTTTGAAGAAATGCTGCTAAATACTCACGGCGAGTCTGAGGCTGGAACATACGATGTCCACACCGTTACGCGGGCTCGCAAAGTCCATCAGCCACTACTCTCCACGCCTCTTACTGCTCTGTTGTCTGTCTTGGAGATATTTCCTCTCCTGACAAACTCACCGTTTGCCGGTACCCGAAGTCGCCAAAAGCATCCTGATATCATCATTACGAATGGCCCGGCTACAGGTTTCTTCGTAGGACTTGTTGCCTACGTACTGAAACTTTTCTGCCTCGCACCAGAAGACGTCATGCAAATTTTCTATGTAGAGTCATGGGCGCGCATCAAGACCCTGAGCCTCACAGGAAAGTTCTTCTACTACACCAAAATCGCAGACGTGTTTCTCGTTCAGCATGAATACGTAGCCCAGAGATACGGCGTGCCCAACGCGGGATGTCTAGTGGTAGACCAGGCCAGTAATTGAGATGCTCCAAGCTTCTGCAGCGTTTTGGGCATTGCTCTCGTACGTAGGTATTAATACAACAAGCCTTACACACCCATCAAGGGAGAATTTATTCCTTCTCAGCAGCCTCAACCGCCGCGACATCGTCGTCCGTAGCTTCGTCCCCCTTGCCAAACTTGCGATAGGAAGCACTGCGATCTTGCTCTATCCGGACAACCTCGGACTGTGCCCACTGCTTCCAAGTCTCGTACTGCTTGTCCTCGAGATCCTGCGCGATATCCAGCTTGTTCTTGCCAAAGTAAGCCCCGACGTACCGGGCCTCTTCTCTAGCTACCCTCTTCTCGACCTCCTCTTCCTGTCGCAGTGCGTAGAACTCTTTCCTGGCCATGTCGTAGGCTTGATCGCGCGGCAAACCGGCATTGTTCATGAGCCACATTTGTCTTTGCACAACACTAATGAATGTGTTAGCTTGTTTGAGAATGCTCGTCTCGATTTGCTTCGTCGGTCTTTTCCTGACCTTTCGCCGCTGATCGCCAGTCCGGGTTGCCGCAGACCCCGACTCCAATCACATCGTTGCCAGTCCTTTCCATCGAGTTCGAGTACGACTCTCGGGCGCGCCAGTTCCCAAGGATGGTCCTTGAAGAATGTCGTTCGTAGTTCATCTTCCTCGTAGATGATCTGCTGGGGCTTGAATAGGTTTCGAGGCTTCCTGCTCTTGGATGCAGACGCCTGGAGAACGGTCGCTCGCAACCTTATGACTGTCTCGGTAGGGGGAATCGACTTCAGGGCCTTGTACCATGGCGGCGGCCGGACTTTATGTTGCGGCAAGATTCTGTGGCTCAGCTCTTCGGTGACGGTCTGGAAAACCCTGGCGGGTCGTAGTTGTTTGCCCATCGCAACTGTATGATGAGTGCTGAGCGGGAGAATGTCGGATTGAAAGAATTTGACTCACGAGTGACCCGATCGAGGATGTCGGACTTTGAAGCAAGATCAAGTGCTGGTTTACACCTTGTGTCGCGTGCTAGGCCACGAAATTTGGAGCTTCGGCCAGGAGAATCCGCCATCCTGGTCACAGCCATGCATATATCTTACACATGCATATATGGATACATGTCCATGCACGTAAGGGATTCGCCAGGTAAAATCTCCCCGAACTCTCTCATCGGCACAGCCAGTCTTCAACACTTCGACGACCATAGATTTCCCCCTCCGTCACGGCCGCGCGATACATCCGACATTGCCGAGCTGGGAGGAAGCTGGCAGCCCCCCATCGAAATGCCGGACAACTGATGAAAGCTCTCAGAGGCTTTGACGGGTCGCTACGCGGCGCGATCCGTTCGAAACGACCGTCGAACTCGCCCAACGTTGGACCAACACCAAAGCTGCGGGCTCGCGAACGATCCAGAAAGTCCGCACGCACAGCCAGAATACAAGCAACACCATCTTCCACTGTATACTTTACATGCAAACCGTCTTTGCAGATTCCACACTGCCCTCTCACAGCGTCATGGCTTCTTTCGACTTTCCTGCCAGGACCTTCACGCATAGTCGTAAGCCGCTCGACGTCAAACCCGTTCCCTGGACGCCGCCAGCAATGCCGCCAATATGGCCACGCTGCCGCAATCGCATCTTGCGGTGCCCAGCCCGATCACACAGGATATATGCTGCAGCGGAAGAAGGACCTTCTCGCAGTTGTCGGCGATTACCGCATCGGAGCTGTGGAGGATCACCTCGAGCTTGTCAGAGACCCTTACATGCGGCGGTACGCTCGACCAGACGGCCCGAACCTGACGATATCGGACAAGAAGGAGGACTCGCAGTACCCAAGCTCCGATCAAACGCTTCGAGGCGATAGAAAGGTGGCCAAGGATGCGAACACATTGCGCATGAGCATAAGCTTACGCTTGAGACACCCCGGCCACATTGGTCTCAGGACTATCTATCGCCAATACAGCGCTTTGCCGACGCCACGAATGCTTTACCTATCGGCAAATTTACGGCACCGTTTGCTCAAGGTGCTAGGCACACCCAAGACGAAAAACTCGAAATCAATGCTCCGTTATTTTTCAGTCATTGGCGACGTCAAAGATTGTGGCCTAAGTTTGCAGCGTCGAGAGTGGAATGCCGCCTTGGCACTTGCCAGTCAATACGCACGAAGCATCACCGACGCTGAGGCGGAATCGGGACTGCACCTTTGGAACGAGATGGAGAAGAGCGGCGGACACTTGGGCAATGGGGTGACTTTTAACATTCTATTCGACGCAGCGGCCAAGTCGGGCAATTTCACCCTGGCCGAGCGCATATACAAGGAGATGGAGTCGAGAGGGATTGAGTTCAACCGGTACCACCACGTCAGCTTGATTCACTTTTTCGGCCTACGAGGTGACGTTGACGGTATACGGGCCGCATACAAAGAAATGGTCGAGGCGGGGGAGATGATCGATACCGTCGTGCTCAATTGTCTCATCGCGAGCTTCTTCCGTGCAGGAGACGAAGACGCCGCCCTCCGAGTCTACGACCACATGAAGAATGGTGGCTCCAAGGGCGCAACGATTCCTTCCCCAGACTATCACGCAAACAGGGTCGTTGCCCAAGTACTCATAATGTTTGGTAAGGTCGGACAGCAGCATCCTGCTATGCGATCATCCTTTCAACAACTAGCAAGCACGACACCTGATCTCCGCACATACCGCATACTCATACGACATCATGCCATCAAGGGCAATCTCAATCGCGTCGTTCAATTCCTCGACGAGATGAAGCGCTTCGATGTTCCCTTGCACGGCGCCATCTTTCTCCTCTTATTTAAGGCATTTGCGAACCACGGGGGCCACAGACAGTCCGCCTGGACCAAGGACCGGCTTCAGAACCTATTCTCAGCACTGCTGCAAGCGGTCGACAATGGTGTCAACAATCTTTACATAGACACGTGGCTTGCCGGCTGGGCTCTCAAAGCGTGCATGCGATGCGGCGACGAGAGCTTAGTCCTCGATACATATGTTGAGCTCAAGGCACGATGGCAATTGCCGCCGGATCGGGAAGAGTACATGGAGCATTTCTTGCACCAGCTGCTAAACGACAGTCACACGGGGTGGTCAAAGAAGCTTGGCCACCGCAAGGCGCCTCACCAGCGGGGATTAACCGCGATGTAATACCATTCCATGTACCGATAGATAGATGAGATACCATGTAGACAACGGCTTGTAATGCTTCTTAGATATTGCATGCGATACGGTCGCAATATGAACGCTTTAAAAGCCTCGTTGGAATATGTTACTGGGCGAACATATCGGGGTCAAGGTGCGGACCATAATCTGACAGGCGAAAAACGATACACAAGGGTCACTCTGGGGTAAATTGTCGATGGACGGCAGTGTCGGTAAGACTGTTCGTTGTTGGGTTCTGTCATGAGGACTCGTTCATGTTTCTCCTCAGCCCGAAGGTAGCCATATGAACACCATCATTACCAAAAATCCCACACGTTTCAGATCGAGCAGAGACTTTAGGAATAACAAATCGCTTCAGTTGAGTCCAGCAATAGGCACGGGCAGCAGCCTCTATTTGGCCTATTTACACATCTACTCCTCTTGCACGCAACTCTCCTTGGCTCTCCATCTTACACGCATTGTAGCTCGTCTTCGGTCTCTGATAGACGCGCAAGCTTATGCCTCCGGGGCCTTGCTCTGCTTCCAAGCTGTGGAGCAGAAAGTCAGTAAAGAAACCCATACGCCGTGTCCCGGGGAGGGAAAAACCACTCACCAGCAATGCCAAAGGGGATGCCGAAACCGGCACCCATGAAGCCCCAGAAGAGGAAGGGGAACACCTTGGACTTGGGGTTGAAGGGGATGTTGGATCGGGGACCCTCGGGGTAGTGGAAGGGCGAAGACATCCGGGAACGGGTCGCGTGGAAGCCGCGGCGGGCGACGACTGAAGGCGCCTGGGTAGCAGCGCGGGTGACGGCACGAGAGAGCATCTGTGGGGTCAATAGTTAGCTTTGTGAATTCTCTAGGAGGGTTTGATCTGCATGCGTGCCTTGACGATTGAGCTTTAGGGGTGCGAAGGGTACAATGGCTGGTAGAAAATCCGGTCGTGATGGTGCTGTCGCAGGCTTGTCCGGCTATTCGAGTGGTCTGAGGCAATCGATGAAAGCTCTCCAGAGGTTACATAAGCCCACGTGACTCACCCGCCCAATCCTGAAAACTGCTGACCACCTCAATGGCAGAGACATGACCGGCGCTTTGACCATGGTAAAACCAAGGCCCTTGGCTGTACGTCACCGCCCTGCCCTGGAGCTCCCAGTTCAGCCAATTTTTATTTTTCTGCCGCCCTGTCGCGGGTTCGTGCATTCTTTTGCGCCTGCCACCGTCTCTTGCAACTTTTGGCTGTGGAATTCATCATCCATTTTTTACGCAACCCGCATGACCGCCCGTCGGCTCTGCCTTTTTCCATGGACGACCTCTTCGATGTCTTCGAGGGCAATCCTCGGGCAGAGACTTCAGAACTCAGCGAGCCCGAGGCCGCTTCTACCGGCGTCAAGCCATCCAAGAAAAGCAAGAAGGACAAGAGCAAGAAGCGCAAGGCGGATGGCATTATAAAGTCTCAGCCAAAGACCGAGGCCATTGACACCGTAATGGCAGACGTCGAGGTTGCTGCAAAGAACGGCGATGAATCGGAGGATCCACAGGTTGACGCCGAGGACAACGATGGCAACGAGAGCAACAAGCGCCGCAAGAAGGATGAAGAAGCTGAGCCCGTCTTGACCGACAGCTTCCAAACGGCCGAGTCGCGTCAAGTGGCTGGCGCACAAGCATTTGCGCCTGACGAGGGGGATTCCTTGGTCCTGTCCCACAACATCCAGCATCAAGTCGCGCTACCTCCCGATCTCGACCACGAGTACATCCCGCTCTCCGAACACAAAGCCCCGGACGAGCCCGCCAGGACATGGAACTTCAAGCTCGACCCTTTTCAAAGCCTTTCGGTTGCGTCCATTGAGCGTGATGAGAGTGTTCTTGTCTCTGCGCATACCAGTGCCGGCAAGACGGTTGTTGCCGAATACGCCATTGCGCAGTGCCTCAAGAGGAACCAGAGAGTCATCTACACCAGTCCCATCAAGGCCCTCAGCAACCAAAAGTACCGGGACTTTGAAGCCATGTTTGGCGATGTCGGCCTCATGACGGGCGACATTACTATCAACCCCACCGCCAGCTGTCTTGTAATGACGACGGAGATTTTGCGGTCTATGCTGTACCGTGGCTCTGAGATTATGCGCGAGGTGGCTTGGGTTGTCTTTGACGAGATTCACTACATGCGTGATAAGACCCGTGGTGTCGTATGGGAGGAGACCATTATTTTGCTGCCTGACAAGGTCCGATATGTCTTCTTGTCAGCCACTATTCCGAATGCCTTCCAGTTCGCCGAGTGGATTGCCAAGATCCACAAGCAGGCCTGCCACGTCGTTTATACGGATTTCCGACCAACACCCTTACAGAACTACTTTTTCCCAGCCGGCGGCAAGGGAATCTACCTCGTTGTTGACGAGAAGGGAGTCTTCAAGGAGAACAACTTTCAAAAGACGATGCAAGAGGTTGAGCAATCCAAGGGTCAAGATCCCGGCGACGCGAACGCCAAGTGGAAGGGCAAGGGCAACAACAAAAAGACGCAGAAGGGCGGCGGCGCCGATCCCAAAGCCGACATTGTCAAGATTGTACGCATGATCATGACCAAGAAGTTCCAGCCCGTCATCGTCTTCAACTTTAGCAAGCGAGAGTGTGAGAATCTTGCTGTTGGCTTGTCGAGCCTACAGTTCAATACCGATAACGAAAAGGCAATGGTTCGCCACGTCTTCAACAATGCTATCAAGAGTTTGTCCGATCAGGATCGTGAGCTTCCTCAAATCTCTAATCTCCTGCCTCTACTCGAGCGCGGCATCGGCGTCCATCACTCTGGGCTCCTGCCCATCCTCAAGGAGACGATTGAGATCCTCTTCCAGGAGTCCCTGATCAAGGTTCTTGTTGCAACTGAGACGTTCTCGATTGGTCTCAACATGCCTGCAAAGACTGTTGTCTTCACACAGGTGACCAAATGGGACGGCGTCAAGACCAGGCCTCTTACACCATCTGAATATATTCAGATGTCTGGACGTGCCGGCCGTCGTGGTCTTGATTCCCGTGGTATCGTTATCATGATGATCGACGAGAAGATGGAGCCTGATACGGCCCGCGGCATTGTTGTAGGTCAACAGGATCGTCTCAATTCGGCCTTTTACCTGGGTTATAACATGATACTCAACCTTTTGCGCATCGAAGCCATCTCACCCGAGTTTATGCTTGAGCGCTGCTTCCACCAGTTTCAGAATGCCGCTAGCGTTCCAGACCTTGAACGGGGACTCGTGCAACTTCAACAGGAGAAGGACAACTTTGTCATCACGGATGAATCGACGGTCAAGGATTATTACAACATCAGAACCCAGCTTGAGCAGTTCGCCATGGATATGCGGGCTGTCATTCAACATCCGTCACACTGTCTCGACTTTTTACAGCCTGGCCGCCTTGTCCGCATCTACAACCCGAAGCTCCAGGAGGCTAGCCTCGACGGAACGGACTTTGGCTGGGGTGTCGTTGCTAATTTTACCAAGCGCCGCGCTCCCGATAGTAGGAAGGGTGAGCCCGAGTATCCGCCGCAAGAGTCCATCATGATTGATGTTATGCTTCCCATCTCGCCTGATAGCGATGAGATCACACAGGGCTTCAACATCACGACCGAGATGCCCAAAAATGTTTACCCGGAGTCGACTTCGAATAGCCCGGCCCGTTTTGAGATTGTCCCTTGCCTCTTAACCTGCCTGAAGAGCATCAGTCAGATCCGCGTTTTCATGCCTAAGGATATCAACTCGCAAGCTAGCAAGGACCAGGTTCGCAGATCTCTACTCGAGGTCACACGTCGTTTTCCAGATGGCCTACCGATCCTCGACCCCATGGAAAACATGGGCATCAAGGACGAATCCTTTATCAAGCTCCTGCGCAAGATTGAGGTTCTCGAGTCTCGCCTTCTGACGAACCCACTCCACGGATCGCCCCTTTTACCGGAGCTCTACCTGCAATATCGCGCCAAGGTCAAGCTCGGCGAAGAGATCAAGGAAAAGAAGAAGGGCATCGCCAAAGCACACAGTATATCACAGATGGACGAACTCAAGGCTCGCAAGCGTGTTCTACGTCGCCTCGGCTTCCTCAACGAGAGCGAAGTTGTGCAGCTCAAGGCCCGCGTCGCCTGCGAACTGTCGTCTACCGAAGGCCATGAGCTCATCCTCGCTGAACTTCTTTTCGACAGGTTCTTCAACGAACTGGCGCCTGAGACGATTGCTGCCGTGCTAAGTTGTTTCGTGCTCGATGAAAAACTTGAGGCTCAGCCGCTCAAGGAGGAGCTTGACAAGCCGTTCCGTGCTATTCTTGCCAAGGCTAGGCAGGTCGCCAAGGTCAGCATCGAGAGCAAAATGGATATCAACGAAGAGGAGTTTGTCGGAAAATTCAAGTGGCAACTGATGGAGACGGTGCACGCATGGTCCAACGAGAAGTCTTTTGCCGATATCTGGTATGCAATATTCCCCTCTCTGATCGATCCTGGCTAACCACATGGATAGCAAAATGACCAATGCCTACGAGGGCTCTCTCATCCGTCTATTCCGCCGCCTCGAGGAGCTACTTCGCCAAATGGCACAGGGCGCCAAGGTCATGGGCTCTGAGGAGCTACAAGTCAAGTTCGAGGCGAGTTTGAACAAGATTCGCCGCGACATTGTTGCAGCGCAGAGCTTGTACCTGTAAGGTAAGTTTTCCTCTCGACAATCGTCACTCAGCCACACGTCATGCGGGGTTACATAACGCCCGAGTGGTGGCAATAGTCCAGGGACAGGTCAGGAGTTTCGGGTGGAATATACCAGTAGCTTTTTTGTTCTCGACAAAATAGGAGCTTGGGTGTGTGCATGCGCCGACGCCCATGCTCCAGGCCGCCAATCAAAGTAGCATAATGGCCTTCTGCGTGCCCTTGTGGCGCTCCCTCTGTGTATGTGTGTTTATGTGAGCGATGACCAGTATATGCAATAATCAATGCAGTACGCTTTGCTCTGAAACCCAAGGACGCCGTAACCATTGGATCCAATGTCACTGCTCTCCGCCAAAGAGGGCTCTCATGAGACCGACAAATGCGCTGAAGGAAACACCAAAACCAATCCACACACGCCATCGTTGTGGAAGCATGCCATCCTCACGTGTAAGCCAGGCCAGCCCGCCAAGAGGCCAGAAAAAGCCCATGAGCATTCCCTTGACGAGCCCATCGAGTTGTTCGTGCATAGAGCCAAGCGAGTCGTGCGCCACTGGCTCCTCGCCAGCGGCTGTGGTTGCCGTAACGCCACCGCCTCCCGGCATCGCGTTCCCACCGTTGGCATCCATCCACAGATCTTCCATGTTTCGCATCGAGTCGGGAGACGGCATCGTGTCGGAGGTATGTCGTTGTGCTTGTATATCGGTAAACTGTAGTCGGAGTTGCGACACCTCAGCCTGCGTGAAGCCTGCCGCTAGCAGACGATCGAACCCCCGAGGCGGGCGGTGTGCGTTGTGCGTGCTCGGTCTCGCTGCGCCTGTCGCCGGGATATCCGGGGCGGCTGGTATGGAAGACGTCGCTGCCACAGGTCTCTGAGCCGCTTCGACCTCGCTGGCCAATTCTTCGACCGACAGTTCGTCTCCGATGCTGCAGATCACGTAGACGCGTTGCTGCTCCTCGTCTGCTTGGCCAGCAACAGCCTTGCCTTTGCCTTTCGCCGCAACATCTTGATGAACGGCTGTGGCGGTGCTTGAGCGAGGAGTCGTTGGTAGCAACGCAGACAATGCTGCGCCATCCAGCAAGATCTTGCCTTGGTAAATCAAGCGCAGCCGGTTGGCATTGTAGGGGGGTTCGAGCTGTGTGCGTATCAGGTTCTTCAAGGCGACTATGGTAGTCGACGCAGGCGTCGGAATGTCTAATGTGAGGTCAGGTAATGAAGAGCTAAATCGAATCGTGAGTAGAAGCGCGGTTGGCCGCAGCTTGCAGAGCGGAGCAGCCATATTCAGGGTCGCGTCTCGCGACGCAGATGTAGGAAACGCTGTCGTGATGTTGAGCCGGAGACAGCGACAAGTATTACCGATGACAAGCGCTTGTGCAACACCCCCGGGGCGGTGATACATCAAGAATCCCCTCGATCACAGTTGTGACAGTACCCCACTGCCCCCATACACCCACCCCTCTGCCTGACACGCTCGGGTGGGCGCATCTCCACCCCTCTCCCGCCCCGACAATCGGGGGTTGATCGGATGGCGTAATTTGACGATGCCGGATGCCCATTGGGACATCAACGGCTCTGCATGGGGCAGCAGCAGTCACATCCAGGACCATTTGAAATCAAGTTGCTCATCATTTGAATTCTGCACATCTGCCACATGAACCCTCTTACCTTCGCCCTTCGATCGAGCTCTGCCAATTGCTCAGCTACGTTGAGCCGTCGAAGCTTCCACTCAGCCAACATGACTCTCAGCAGCAAGTTGAAGCCCGCTGCGCGCGTTTCCGGAAGGCGACAGGATGTTTGGTGAGTTTGAGGAAGTCGTCCAAGAAGTGTAGGATTGCTCACCCCGATTAGGTCCATTGTCAACGAGGCTGCCGCCGCCTCGCCGAACCAGCCTATTGTGAACATGGGGCAGGGTTTCTTTGGCTACAACCCTCCAGACTTTATCCTTAATGCTGCTAAGCAGGCACTCGACCGCGTCGAGTGCAATCAGTACAGCCCAACAAAGGGCCGTCCCCGTCTGAAGAAGGCCATCGCCGACGCCTACTCCCCTTTCTGGGGCCGGCAAATTGATCCGGAAACCGAGGTCACGATTACGACTGGCGCCAACGAAGGTCAGTATGGTGCGGCCGATTCTGGCTGGCTCATCACTGACATCCATTTTTAGGCATGCTCAGCGCATTCATGGCCTTCATTGAACCGGGCGACGAAGTCATCATTTTCGAGCCCTTTTTTGACCAGTATATCAGCAACATCGAAATGCCTGGTGGCAAGATCACATATGTGCCCCTTCAGCCACCCAAGGACGGTGCCGAGAAGACGTCCTCTGCTGCTGAGTGGTCCATCGATTTTGAAGAGCTTGAGAGGGCCATCACCCCGAAGACTAAGATGATCGTGCTCAACACCCCTCGTTCGTGGCCCTGCTCGTGACAACAGTGCTACTTGCTGACAGCGTCCGCAGACAACCCTGTCGGTAAAGTCTTCTCTAAGGATGAATTGCAGAGAATCGGCGACCTTTGCGTCAAGCACGAGATTATCATCCTGTCTGACGAGGTTTACGACCGGCTCTACTACGTGCCCTTCACGCGCATCGCCACCCTGTCGCCTGAGATCGAACGACTTACCATTACTGTGGGATCGGCTGGCAAGAACTTCTACGCCACAGGATGGCGCGTGGGCTGGCTGATGGGGCCTGCCGAGCTTATCCAGCACGTCTCAGCCGCGCACACCCGTATCTGTTACTCCTCGGTGTCGCCTTTGCAAGAGGCCTGCGCTGTCGGTAAGTGTAATCCCCTGGACTGAACGAGCATCACGTTAACCCTCCGTCCAAAGGCTTTGAGCAGGCTGATAAGCATGGATTCTGGGACGAGTCCGTTGTTGAGATGAAGGGCAAGATTGACCGCTTCAATGAGATCTGGAAAGAGCTCGATCTGCCTTACTCGGAGCCCGAGGGTGGCTACTTCGTCCTCGTCAATATGAAGAAGGTCAAGCTGCCAAAGGACTACCCATACCCACCACATGTTGCCAGTCGTCCACGCGACTTCAAGCTTACCTGGTTCCTCATTCAAGAGGTCGGCGTTGCTGCCGTACCTCCAACCGAGTTCTACACGGACAAGAATACCTGGATTGCTGAGGACTACATCCGGTTTGCTGTTTGCAAGCCTGATGAGGTCCTCGAGAACGCCAAAGAGCGCCTGCGTGGGTTGAAGAAGTATATCGAAGCATGAGTATTGTCAAATGAACAAGAAATTTTAACATCATCTTTGTTATGCTGGCCATTGAACACTGCCTGTTGTGAAAGACAATCATCGCTTCCAATGAAGTATCACCTGGTCACGAACCCAAAGTTCCCATTGTAGGTTGACATTGGCTACCTAGCAAACTGGGATGCAAATCCAGAGTGTGATAAACGTGAATCCATTGCAAATTTCAGAACCGTTTGGGGAAGAGTTCCCAGACCGACCCGACATTCACACTGCTCATTTCTCATCATTCAAGTGACCGCCAAGTTGAGCCCACACGATTGAAGCCAGCTGCAAGCTTGACTATTCTTCAGAAACCGTTCCAAACGATGTTTGGTTCAACTGTCTTCCGTCTGACATCGATCGATTCGAGCGATACAGAACGAGCGATAGCTAGATTTCATCACCACTCTGATGCTCAACCTTGGCCTCATCCTCATTCATGTCCGCAAGAGTAGCCTCTGATTCGGTAACGGCAGTGTTGACAGAGACAGGAGCCTCGTTGGCAGCAGTCGTAGTAGAAGGCTTTTTCTTAGCGGGGGTGCGTTTTTTCTTGATCGGGGTCTCGATGGGGGTAGCATCGACGTCTTCCCCGTCGCCTCCAGTCGAGACCTTCTTCTTTGGAGTGGCACGCTTGCGCTTCTTCTCTGAATCGCCGCCCTCGTTGTTGGCAGCGGCAGCAGCACGAGCCTTGGCAGGAGTGGCAGCGGCGGTTCCGACGAAGAGTTTCTTCTTGAGGGCGCTCCAGGCATTGGCAGCGGAACGGGGGTTGGTCATACCGGTGGCAGCAGCGAGGCGGATGTAGTCGATCTGGTAGATGGGCAGGGTCAGCACTGAGAGACAAAAACAGATCGCAAGTCGAGGGCGCGCGATAATCAAGAAAGCGTGCTGTTGACTCACCTCCGGCTGAACCTTCATGCAGCTCCAGGCTTTCGAGAGAATCTCCTGCTCGCGGTCGCTCAGCTGCATCTTGGTAGGGGCTGCATTGGGGGTGGCGGGCACGCTGATGCCACCCTGACCGCTGTTGCTGTCGTTGTCAGACATGATTGAGAGTTTTTTTGGTTTGTGTTTTGAGTAAGTGTAGGGCAAAAACAATGATTCTTGTAGGAAATGCTCTGTTGAGTGACCGAATGTACTTTATGGAGGAACTCAAGCGTGGCTTTGGTGGTGGTTGAGTGTTGTGAGAGTTCTCAAGATCGGTGACAGAGATGCATCTAATGGCTAGGAAGGAACCTAGTGTAGGCAACAGCTTCAACAGGCATGCTCTGCGTATTCAGACTCTCAAAATCTCGCCGCTCCTTCCGTGAAAGCTTTTCCTCCATCCACCACACGCAGCACTTGGCTTCGTCTGGAAATGGCCTGAAGTGGCTCGACACCTAAGGTAAGCACTCTGGGCAACCGCACGAGCAAGATGAACTTTGAGAATCTGCGAGAACTATTCAAACAGCTCAAGAGGACAATAAGTTCTGATTCGCTTCGTAATTCACGTCTCGAGTCAGTTGGGCTTAGCATTTGGTTGGTGGTCTTGGGTTCAGGCACTTGATGAGAAGCACAAATCATTAGTCGCACGTTTCCACCACCACACTCAACCATAATCCCGCTTAAGCGTTTACGAACTGCCTTAAGTCGATCAATAAATTCATCTCGTTTGATTGCATTTTCCTGGTGGCTCTGTAATGCGTCATCACAAGCAAACCGAAGGCAAGGACAATAGCATAGAATTAAACCCTAATTGTATCAAAAACAGAACTGACCCATACCTATACGTCTACTTGGTTGAGGGGTTCGGCGAGACGGTGTTGTCAGGGAACTTCCGGAAAACGTCGGCAACATGATCGATCGGTGCCGTCAGTAGACCCATGACTGTCTCGAATGGCGGGTGCTCGCCAGCACTGGGATGGCTGCGCGAGGGCACAAAGGCCTTGGTCCTCCCGAAACTCTTTGCGATCGACTCGGATTCCCCGTGAGTCTGGCTTAGTGCTTTCTCCAGAGCTGGCATATCCTCCTTCTCCTCCTCCTTGATATGTTCGGCAAGGATAGACCAGAGCTCCTTGAGCTTGGGAACGTACTCGGGGTTGGCAGGCTTTAGATTTTGCCAGGTCTTGAGAAGTTCTTTGACCTTGTTTGTGTTAGCTTGCGGCTTAAAGTACATGTGGATGCTGAACAGTACCTGATGATGTTCTTTTCGATCGCTCTCAGCCATGGATCTGCCCTTTTCACCGAGATGCTTCTCGAATGCAGGGTAGACAACCAACTCTTCGCCAACTGAGTGACGGGCGAGCTCCCATGTGAACTGATTGCCGAAACGCTCCTGGTGGTCATGGCTCGTAGAGTTCACGACCTCATTGTAGTACTGCTCCAGCTCGCGGTGGTCCTTGATGATGGAATCTGAAATGCTCGACATGGCTGCGGTACTGTATCCGAAGGTGCCTAATTGTGTGAGAAATTGTTGCGTGTTCAGAGTAAGGCGGCGGTGGCCCAGCGTTATCAGTCTAGAAGATAGCATGGAGTCCGTCGATGTTTCTCATTCATACGAAGAGAGCTTTTGACCGCATAATGCCAGGTTCTTTAATACTTTTTGAGCGACCATGCTGACGTCCTATCATCGGTGTTCCGGACGCTGTCTACCAAGCTCTGATGGCAACGGACGTCACAAATCATCATGACACAACTCTGGCAGCTTCCGCGAGGCATCATCGTGAAATTTGGTTGGTAAAATGAAGATCATGATTGGCTGTTGGTTCGGAGCTCTTCTAGCACAATCTCGATGTGTTTTGTCTGACGGTGATGTTGTCGTGGTTGGCGCTGCAGTGGGTCCGTCATTCGCCCGTCATTTGCTGCTGTGTCACTTTGGTCAGCATGTCACTGGCGGTTGTTTTGCTCCTGCGTGTCGGCGATAGGTTACGATCCAAAGCTCAGCACTCAGAACGGAGCATATGAAGCGAAATGAAGTATTTACAAAGGGCATGGCTTTTTGATAGCAAGTGGGAGGTGATGGAGTTAGGCAATCGTGGTCATCATACAGGGACACCCGTACCTACCTTCCCCGAGCAGGTACCTGGTCTTAGTCAGCTCGGCCTCAATTGAATCGACAACAAGCCAAAACTTAGGCAGACCTGACGACGCGTGATTGCAGGCATGACACGACCCCCTTTCTTGACCTGGTCCTCACAACCATGGTGCCGCCACAAAAGCCCCCATCAGGCAAAACCCCTGCCACTCGCTATCCCTCCCAGCGTTAATAAGCTTAAGCAGATCAAGCTTCGAAACGTCCCAACTCAATCGTGCCCCCAGGTCGAATCGCTCCCGTAGCTCCTCCACACCTTCAACGTCTGTAAAGCTAGGTAGGCTTCTCGCTCCAAGTTTTCAAGCTCCCTTCGTTTATACAAACTTTTTTATCATCTTCCAGCACTTTCACCCCCCGCGATTACCACGGATCGACTGACATGTACCCCAGATTCGATGCCGCCAGAACCGGCCAGCCCTTGCCACCCACGCGCATAGCGGGTCATTTGATTCGAGGAAATTGGCTACGGGGCCATGCCGGAACCACCATCTGTAGCCGCACTCAACGTGACACCTCCGATGCCGAATGGAGTGTAGCCCGCCGGCCTGGTTCTGACGTCTTTGATTGCAAGGGGAAGCTGTGGACAAACGGCCTCAGCTTCGGCCGAGTCACTTGTGGCCAGCACTCGGTTTGCAGCTCCGATGTCACCCTTGGCCAAATTTTATTCGCGGATCTTTGACGTTTTGTGGCCGTCCCCCCTCGGTGCGCCAGGGTCTCGGAATATCCTCATCGGACGGGATTACCATGGATTTCATGTCGTGTCCCCGGTACGATGGTGCCATAGGGCTTACTGGGGCCCTGCCAATTGTGTCTTGATGGCGCCTGGCGAGGAAATCAGACGGGGATGGGAGTGATCAGGGCCAGGGGTTGCTGATACGATGTGTCCCTCTAGCTCACCAGGCTACAAAAGATCTCGTCTCTAGCCTCTCGAGTTTGCTGAAATCGACACACCCTCACCTTCATTCGATTTCTCCATCCTTTCTTTCACCAAGAGGTTGCTGGGCTTCCTCCTCACTTTCTTATACCCCCGCTCAGCATTTCACCTGGATACGAACACGTCCGGACCTCAAGATGAAGCTTACGTCGGTTCTGTCCCTGCTTGTCGCCGTCGCCTCCGCGGTGCCCACGCCCACGATTGACGAGGCCGAGCACGTCCATATCGAGAAGCGCGCCACCATCTCTGAGGCTGCTACACTGGGCTACGCTTCCACCAACGGGGGCACCACTGGTGGTGCTGGCGGTACCGTCACCACTGTCTCCACTCTTCCTCAGTTCACTGCTGCCGTGAACGAGAAGGACGCAACCCCGAGGATTGTTGTTGTGAAGGGCATCATCTCTGGCAGCGCGAACATTCGCATTGGCAGCAACAAATCCGTCATTGGTCTTCCCGGTGCTGGTACGTGTCTCAAAATGGACTATTCTTTTCCCGCACTAATGTGTTTAGGCTTTGACGGCATTGGTCTGTACGCTCGTCGCCAAAAGAACATCATTCTGCGTAACATTATCTCTCGCAACGTTCTCGGCAGTGTTGGTGATGGTTTCAGAATTGATGTACGTCAAAATAATTCTTCCTGCATTAAGCGACGCTGACATTGTTTCTTCCAGGAAACCACCAACGTCTGGGTCGACCACTGCGAATTCTACTCCAAGCTTATTGCTGACAAGGACTACTACGACGGTCTTGTCGACCTCTCCCACGCTGCCGACTTTGTGACCATTTCCTAGTATGCCTGGCCCCTCTTGCCTAAGACGAACCCCTCTGACACCATTTCTTTAGTACTTACTTCCATGACCATTGGAAGACCTCTCTCGTCGGCCACAGCGAGAACAACGGCGCCAAGGACTCTGGCCATCTCCGCGTCACCTATGCTCACAACTACTGGGCCAACTGCGGCTCCCGTGGCCCCTCGCTGCGTTTCGGTACCGGCCACATTTACAACTCGTACTACCTTAAGTAGGCTTGTCTTCTTCTGCTTTCGTCCACACAACCACTAACCTTGAACAGCATGAACTCGGCCATCAACACCCGACAGAACGCCCAGGTCCTCATTCAGAGCAACGCCTTCAAGAACGTCACCGTTCCCATCACGACACAGGACTCTGACATTGTCGGCTACGCCAACGCTTTTGACAACGACCTCGGCGGTGCCCCCAACACGGCTCCCGTTGGCAAGCTGACCGCCAGCTCGCCTCCCTATGCCTACAGCCTCCTGGGATCTTCCAAGGTTGCTGCCACCGTGCCTGGCCAGGCTGGTGCTCGTCTCACGTTCTAAGTTTGCCGTGCACAACGCGTCAAGCGAGCCCGACTGATCATGCTCTAATTTTCCCTTCTGTGTCATACTTTACTTTACCTTCCGTATATATCTGTTGCGCCGAATGATACACTATATATCAAACCTTGAGGTTTTCAATCGACAAAGCCACTCGATCTATCTCGTTGTCGAACTCGGGTTACCGTCTTGCCGAATTGGTTGCAGCGAGCTAGAGCATCCAGTCTGGGTGTAGAGAGCGCCGTAGACGCTGGGGTTCATGCACGCTAAGCTGCCCAGGTGCCCATCGCCCTAGGCTTGACCGAATGCAATGTGTGAGGGGATATGCCTGTATCCAGCTACTGCCCCCCTAATGTGATTACGACCCCCACAACCCCGCGGCGGGAAACGTAGCTGTGTATTTTCCGACAGTATCCCGCCATCGACATACAACTATTACCCCGCGCCCTCCAGCCCTGATGCCACGAGTGACGATCCATGGCCACATGCGGGGCTAGGGCACGAGATAAACCGCCTCCAACTGCTATTCCCCTACGCTAAGGCGCGTGGCAGACCCCTTTCCCGACGCGCATGAGCATTTGCAGCTCCACGGCGATAACTCCGTACCCCCACCGATCTTGGGTTTCGCGATGTAGAATCCGGGCGGCGCGCACTTGGCCCTGCAGATGTGTCTCCAGTCATGCTCGGGTGTGAATCCCATAATGGGACCGACAATAACGTCGAGCCGATATGGAGGCGGATGAGACCTATAAAGCCTGGGCCCCAGCCCCCTA